TTGAGAAAGACAAAATAATTTGCAGCTACTTCCCAAAAATGACCTTAACTGCAAGACTCATAATAAACTTAATACTCATAATAAAGCCACCAATCATCAAGAAAATAAGAGAAATTCTCATTAAGATTTTTATATATTAAGACATATTAAGGAAAAACTTAATAAAAGATGGTCTAGAAAGGGAGGAAAAAAAGATTTGATAGGGAAATAACAATGCATCCAAGTCCTAAGAGATTACTAAACATGTCACACCACTAGTTTTGGAATCAACCCACTAACCCGCCCCAGAAATAAAGTCCCAGCTGAAGCTGTAATCCCTGAAATTGGAAAGTGCTGACATTAGCCAGATCTTGCTGTCAGTCAAATGCTATTGTATAAAGGAAATTCTTTTCACCTTGGCTGTGGATTGGAGTTGAAAACCTAAGGAGGAAGTCTTTATCTGGGGTCCAGAAGGAAAATTTGGGAAAAAAAACAGACCAAAATCCCACAGGAAAATGAACTAAATAAAAGAAAAAGCCCAGAGCCAATTTGTTAACTAGTCCAATAAATCAATATGGCATCTGGCTACCATATGCAAAGGTAGATTTGAGAGGAATATCTAGAACTAGGTACTGCTGATTAGAGCAGAAAGAGTACCCTTTTTTAGGCCTGATCTGCTAAAAAGGATGACATCATTTTTCCTGAGATCTAGTTACAGGAGAGCAGAAGGAGAATCCAGGATATGGAGCACGCCAAAAATGGCTGGACACATCAGAACTTGTCTTTACGTGGGTGGAAAATGAGCCAGAGAGACCTGGCTCTCACACTTGGCTTTGCCATTTATTAACAGCATGACCTGGGACAAATGATTTAACCTCTCTGAATCTTTTTTCCTCGTCTATAAAACATGAGTACTAAACATCAACAAAACTCTTAAGAGGACTAAAGGAAATAACCAATGAAGTGTGCCTGACAAACAGTAGGTACTTTCTTCTAAGTCCCTTCTACAGTAAACTTCCCATCTAAACAGGAGCATGAGATAAGCCAGAAAAGAAAATTATCTCAAAAAGTGAACTGTTCGATGACTTTCATTATTCTTCTTGTTGGTCAAGTAGTTTCCATTATAAAATGTATGCTGCCTACTTCCATTCCTCCAACAAATATTTACGGACACTCCCACTTTAAGGATGTCAGCTTACCCTGTGAAATGGTCTTAAACAATACCAATAAAAGGCCAAACCAGCAACCATCCAACATAACACGGTATACTGAGCACGGTTTGTCCTGAACAAAGATGTCACTGGTCTTATCTAAACAAGGCCAGTCTGATCAAGTCTACAAGTGGCAGGACAGCTGGTTCATATGCTCTCAGGCTAGAGAGGACCATGGTCATAGCCTGTCACTTCAGCCATCCTCACACACATAGATGAAACCACTGTCAGCAGCAGCATCTTTAAAGGATAGCTAACATCCTGTTTGGGGCTGTTTTTCTCCAACTGTTCAAAAAAAAAAAAAAAAAAAAAAAGCTGCTCTCATAGCCAGTAATCTCACAGCGCCAATTTCCTAAGCAACCCTATTTATAGGGTTGCTGTTTAAGCATATATTTCACATGGTACCACATTTTCAGAATTCTAAAGGCAGTAAAAATTAGACTGTCAAAAGTCTGTTTTACTGGGAGAGGCATCAAAAGTTCTACTGATCAAGAGTCTTATGACCAAGATGACTTGATTGCCAAGACCCATCTTCTGACCCCCTTTCTCCAAGCTGAGTCTCTTTCATCTGAGTTCTCCCACTCACTAGCTCTAGAACCTGAGGCAAGGGTCTTAATTTCTCAGGGCCTCAATTTCTTTATATGGATTAATTATTCTCTGAGGTCCTTTCCGGATGTACAAATCTATTAAAAAGCATCAAATGGCTAAGTTTCTGGTAGTTTGTGAGGGTTCCTAAGCCTACATTTAAATGCTATTAATACAATGCAGGTATCTCTATATATCATCCCATGTAAAATTTGGTTTGAGAGGAACAAACTCATAATCTACACCCTGAACACAGCAGGCACTGAGAAAAGTTAACTACATAAATAAAGGAATGGGAATATTGACCGTACCTGGAAACAAAAGCTGGACACTACAGGTGGGAGGGTGGGAAAGAAATCATAGGCCAGAAACACTTAGATACAAATGGAATGCTTCTGGCAAAGATCCATATAATGTGGAAAGGCAGAAACAACAACCAAAAGAATATAGTGAACCCCATCACCAGACTATTAGCTTCCTCTAAAACACCAATGCTCTGTTCAAGCCAAATTCTTCTGGGAAGCTCTCAATTCCTGTTTACTCTAAAACAAATGAAAAACAAAAGAAAAAACCCAGATTATTCCTTGTAACTTAAACCCCAGGGGAGGTTGGGAACCAGTGGGAGGCAAAGAGATTCACACAAATAGACACACGTATACAAAATCATTTCTGATGGGGGGAAGTTAATGAAGCACACAAAATCCCAGGGCTGACAGGAAGTGGAATTAGAACCACAAAAGCCAAGAAGATAGTCAACAGTTTAAAAAACTCCAGATGCACTCAGTTTATTAAAACTGAACACAAGCAGGGAGGGGGCTGGAGACCCATGGCTGATGAAATAGTCTTAGGCGGCATTTCACTGAGTCAGAGAAAGTCACTGCTTCTCTCACATCAGAACTTCTAATGCCATTAAGGTCAAGAAATTCTTAAGCTTCCAAAAGGCAATCTGGTAATGAAATAAAATAGAAAAGGAAACATTCAGAAGAGCTTGTGATGATTTCCAGAACAGAGATTTTTACATTAAGAGCTACTAGAAATTTACTCTCACAGAAGAGCCAAGTAGATGTAGAAAAGAAATGTTTAATTTTTTTTTAATCTAATAAGGTTTTTGCAGTTGGAGTCATATTTCCCACACCCCCACCTCAAAAAGTCTGCAATAATTCTAAGAGCCCCTGGCCCTTACCACACCAGATCCATTGGGAAGCCTACTGTCAGGCCACCAAAAGGCAATTAAATCAAGACCAATCATTCATTCAACAAACATTTCCCGGACATCCTTCAATAGCAAAAAACGCTGCTACGCACAGAAGGCGCAAAAACAAGGGAGACGCTGTTGCTGTCTTCAAGGAGCTTCCAGTCCAGTGGGGGAGACAGACACGTAAACAGGAACTAAAGGACATGCAGGCGTCGCTGGAGGCTGAACAGAGTGCTGGGGTCGAGGTGGCTAACTCTGATGGGAAGACTTAGGGAAAACGTCACCGAAGAAGTGATACTTGACTTTATCTTGAAAAGATGTCAGTTATCTTTTAGGTAAAGTAACAAGGGAAAGATATTTCAGGCACAGGATAAAGCAGGTGCAAAGGCAAAGGGTTAGGAAAAGAGATGATAAAAGGTTTGGTTCGGCAGAAACAGGGTGAGAGTGGAAGGGGAGACACCAATGACTACTAAGAATTCAAGACGATAAGCTCAGTGACTACCGGTAGGAAGAGAACATAATGGAACAAGTACAGAACAGCAGGAGAGAGGAGACGCAACAGGGCACTTTGTTAGGCAAGCGTTCCTGGAGGAGACGTCAAGCTGAGTCTCAGAATATAAAGAGGAGTGTGTAGGGCAGACAGGGGCAGAGTCTAGCTGGACTGCAGGACCTACAGAGAGGCACAAAGGCATGGAGTCCTCAGTGGCACCACTGGATTCTAAGGTGTAGGAGGGGAAATGGAATTCTAGAAAAGTCAGCTGGGGTCAGATCCTTGGAAGCTCTGAAGTCCTATCAAGTATCTATTTACAAGTTAAGCCTAGGGAGCCATTTAAGGGTTTTAGAAGACATGAACATATTTGCATTTTAAGAAGATATACACATATCATAACCTCTTCTTTGCCTGTATAATTTTAGGTCCTGGTTTATCTACCATCTTCTATTCAGAGTCTCAGCACTTCCCTTTGTTTAGTGCCCCTCAAGTACAAGCTGTTATGATAATCGATTAAAGAGATCAAGAATTATAATGTCTAATTATAAAAATAATAAAAAAAAAACTTTTTATGGAGTACAAATAGTGCTTTGCGTACATCATCTCATTTGCCCTTCAAGGTACACTTAGAAGGCAGGAACCATCATTACTGCCATTTTATAGTTGAGGAAACAGGATTAGAGTAACTTGCTGAAAATCGAAAACTAATAAGGGGTACAAATGGGTCTCAAACTAAGTCTGTCAGGCTCTACAGCCCATGTTCTTTACTTCTCTGTTACGCTGTCTCCTACTGTATTCCTTTAATTATCCCCCCATCAATGACCCTACTGTGTTTTACTAACACAGCCTGCCACCTGCTGAAAGCCTGTGTGACTGCACAGACATGCATACCAGCAATCACTAAGGACTCACATCCACACAGACAGCAAACGGGGGCAGGCACCCTCGGTGCTACAGTCACAACTAGCCGGTCAGTGAGCAACAGGCTTCCTGGTCCAGTAGTTGTGATCTGCTTCTTACTCCTTCTCTGTGCAAATAGGGAATTAGGGGTGGGAGAGAAGAGAAGGGGAGGAGGAAGAGGAAGGGAAGAAAGAAGGGGTGGGGGTGGGGAACCCACCAGAAAGAAGACTAAAACAAAAAGGAGGAGCCATTGGAAAATGGGAGAAAGCACATACTGGTACCAGCCAGAGCTTCTTGGAACAGTTCCCAGTCTGGCTGCCAAAGAGCTCTGGAATATATTTGTTAGAGCTGGATTCCTGTACAGTCCGTTGCAGACTTTTTCTGATTGTGCTCTGACAACGAGACCCACACTTTAGTTACAATCCCTGCTTCCCACACCGAAAGCTAGTTAGTCCTCAGGGGACCTCCAACTAAGTTCACCACCGGCCTCTTCATACGCTACGTGAGTTTAGAAAGAAATAAAAGTCCACCACATACCTTTTACTCTTGTAGAATCACTAAGCCTCTCTACCCCAGTATCCCATCCCAATTTCCCAAGCCCCTTTTCACAAAATATGTTAAGCTTCTTGAGTCTCCTTACCAAAACAACTGCTGCGATGAGGAACAAAAGTTTTACAGGCTGTGGCAATAGCTAGTTCAGCAGAGATTATAGTCTTAATGATCAGGTCTTCTACATGGGCCATCAATGCTACAAAAGAAAAAAAAACACTATAATGCATGAATTAGGACTGGATTCCAGAACACAATATAATTATAACAGCACACGTGCTCATTCAAAGAAGTCTCCATGTGGCAGTCTTGCAAATGGGTGCTCCAGGAGAAGGCATGTCTGTGAACAGAGGGACACAGGCAAGAATGGAGGTGCTGGGGGATGTGCTCAAGTGGTCTCCTATGACAAGAGATAGACACAGACTGGAAAAGGAGCCTTCCCCGCTTCTCACTCTCCTCCTCTCACCCTTCCCTTTGTGGACTGAGATAGGCCTTTCGGCACACTGCTTCCCATTCTGCTCAAGGCTCAGCGACAGTGTCCATTTTGATTCCAAGCCTTTGTACTCAAACTTGACACTGTCCATTCTCCAATTCATCAACAGGAATGAAAGAGATTGCCTTAGGAAAATGTGAACTCAGGGCCAATATGGAGATAGACAATTTGTTACGTAAAAAGCTGACCGTATTTTAGTGAGCAGGTCAACATTCAAGAAGGATAAATTCCCTAAAAACTAAAGGAAAAAGTTGTCTTCCAAACTAGAAACAAGAGAAGGGATTTGGGGAGCCATGGTAAGTAAGCCTGTTGTTCTCCATCTTGTAAAGGGCAGGAAAAGTTAACACCAAGAACAATGATCCCATCAGACATCTCAGCAACACTATTAGAATTCGAGAGAATGACTCCTGGTTAGAGATAACAGTACAGTTATACAAAGAAGAGAAGTCAAAAAGGAAAAAGCCCTGGTACTCACCAGTTGTATCTTTGCCTTCCTGTTTCAGATACCTAAGCATAGCACTCATGCTCCATTTGTTCCCATAATCCTCCACTTCCGGATCATCACAACTAAAACAAATTCATCGATCAATGTCACATATGCAACTAGGCCTGGCTCTAGAAACAAGATTTTTTACAAATAGCCTTCTTTCCTTATCAGTCTTTAGAAAAATATTCCCTTTGCTGACTTCCACTCACCCACTTTTTCTTGGTCCTTTTTGTCATATACGCCTATGTACCAGTTTCTTCCATTGAAATGAAAATGCATATAACTTGCCTTAATGAGGTGGGTAGGGGAAAGGAAGGCAAATTCCTCCTTAACCAAACAATTATGCATCATGAACCAGTAGAAGAAATTTGTGAAAGAATGTAAACAAATTTAAGAATGGTTACAAAATATTAACACATTGAAATGCTTGGGGATACTAACCTTGTCTTTGAGGTAAATGTCACATGAGCCCACAAACCGGCCTCTAATGCCATTTTCAGACCAGAACTGAGTCTAGATGGGCTAGTAAGCTAATCTAGCGCAGCATTTTAATGAGTTAACCCTGGACAGAACTGTGCTGGCATCTGAAGCAAGCTTCCTTCTATCTAGTGATAGACACGGCTTTTTTGGATACCTTTTGAGGTATCACCCAAGGGAGAATGCACTAGAGCAACAACAGAAGTAATGAAGTACACCACCGCTACAGCAACAAAGTGGCAAACAGGGCACATTCCCAGATTGTTGGAAGGGTCTTACAATCTGAAACCTGTATTTTACAGCTGCCCCCTTATTCCCTATCACCACCCCGCAACCCACCAGCTGCATCTTTGCTCATCTTCCAAAGTGCAAGATATTGCATCTTCAACCAATTCCTAACACCGGTCACAGGACACTCAATGCAATCTATAGAGCTTCGGCAACTATGCCATCACTTCCAGATTCCTTTCTTTTTTTCCTTGGACCTTCTAGGCACCTATTTTTAGTCTGAGTAGAAAGTAACTGTTTGGGTTTCTTTTTTATTTTTCCAGTTTCTGGCAAAATTATCAGGATGAAAGAAAACACAGCAGAAAGAATATTTCCACACAGCTGGGCTGGTACTCCGTTCCACTGAATCTTTTTCTGAGATGGCCTCATTTCTTTTTTTATTTAATTTATTCCTAACGTTTTTTCCCCCGATCATAAAAGTGTTTCTTTTAGAAAAACTTAGGAAATAACATAAAAGTACAGAGAAGAAGACAGACATCCCCCACCCAAAATCCCATCCATTATAGTTAAGGACTGTTAACATTTTAAGATATATCCTTCTAGTTTTCTTCTCTCTCCCACACCCCCTCGGGGGGGAAAGAACAGCTTTAGTTATCTTACATATTCAAAAAAGAAATTAAATTGCATGTACTGTGTGGCAACTTGCTTTTTCCACCTGACAATGTACAGTGATGCACATTCTTGTTTCTAATCTTGTGTATTAAGTCCTTTATTTCTTAAGGTTAAGCTCCTAGAAATAGAATTACTGGGTCAAAGGGCACAAAGCATTTTTGAAGCTTTTGATACATTTTGCCAAGTGCTGAAATGACCTAATTTCTTGACTTCGAAAAAGTTCCATATGCCTATAAAATTCCTACCTCTAAGTCAAGTGAGGGAACTTGACAATGAGGCAGACGAAACTTGGGAAGGAAGGCATATTTTGGTGGAGAAAGGGGACATTGTAGGTGGGCAAGCAATAGAGAAGCTGTAGCAGGTAAGCCTCAGAACTACATGAAATGACTCCAATAGCTCTAAGTTACATGGATATGAGCATAAAGTTTTCCTCCAGTGCAACAAGTTAACTTTGCACTTCTCCAATGTCTGCCTCGGAGACCGACTTCCCTGGCTCCTGGCTCAGGCGCAGCCAGTACCTGACATAGTCTCCACTCTTCTTATTCACACTGTAATTGGTCAGGTGCATGAACTGGTTCCGAATATTCTTGGTTCCTTGGTCATATCGTACGGTGGCAAACCTGATAGAAAAGACACAGGTTAAATGTCAGGAACAGGGCTTCGATAAAATACAGGATCAATGAGATATTAATACAGGGAGGTGGCATCCTCCTCAAATACTGAGTGCTTATTAAGTGCCAACCCCCACGCTAAGTGTTTCATGTACAATATCACATTTAATTCAATCATTAAAGCAATTCTCTGAAGGAGGTACCATTATGTCTAATTTTTAAAACAGATATGAACATTAAAATATGATCTGGAAGGTTAAGTAACATGCCCCAAATCACACTGACTCCAAAACCCATGTTCTTAACCATGAGATGCTGCTTTTTTGATACAGAACCTTAGACGGATAGGAAAGATGAAAAATGAAAACAAAGTTATTCACAGTCAAGGAAACTGTGTATAGGATGCTGTGGATGATGGGACATTAGCCTGTCAAGAAACACCTGAGTGTCTACACAGTGCCTGGTACTAAAGCATTCTATGGAAAATATTATGCAAAAAGCAAAAAAGGACAGCATAATAATATAAAGACTTAGAACTCACATCCATAGGAAAAAACAGAACTGATCTATAAAATTAAGAGAACAATAATGGCAGCATTAACAGCATACAAAGCCTAAGTCTGCAGAATGGCATAAATACGAGCGTAGAGTGGATTAATTCCTGAATTTGGACTGACGGCAAAAAGAGGGATTAAACACGGAGCCCACTGAAAACAGAGCAGCAATTTGATATCCTGGACTGTTGTCAAAAGAAGACCAAAGTATAAAATATATGTGCCTCTGAAGGAAGTAGCCGAGGAAAGAGAAAACTTTCCAGTGATGCTCAGCATCAACAAAAGTACACTCGAGTCGAACGGTTATGGTAAATATCACCCCCTGTTTACATACCACTCTAACCGTATCACCCTTCACTAAAGTGGTTTTCCCCAGAGGCACAACCAAGTGTGTGAAAAAAAATCCTGGAAGGCCACAAATTTATTTTCACATGATTTACAAATTATTTACATGTGCTTACTCAGACTATGAAGTCAACGTGAATTTTTACCACATTGAAGGGCAGCATTTAAAATTTTTCTTCTCCTCTATTTCTTCTCACTCACCCACTATCTCTGCTCCCTAATTCCCTGTACTAGAAATCTACAAGAGCCAAAGAAAGAAGAGTGGAAAAAGGAAAAATAAAAAAAACAAACCAAAAAAGAACCCCCAAAACTAAAATAAACAAACATGAGGCCAGGAAGAAGGGTGTGGACAAAGAGAAAATGTTGACCAGGCATGTATGGCTAAGGGGCAAGAGTCTGATGAGCATTACGTCTCTGCATGAGAAGAACCTCAGATTTTCCAGAAACTTCCGGCAGTTATCACTTAACTTCACCCATGTCACTCCGTGGTGGGTAAACCTTACCTATACATCCCAATCTTCCTTCGTCAGAGATCCTCCAATCAAGCGGGAAATAGTCATTCTCTGAATTCTTGTGAAATGCGAAGGGGGCCCGGGCAGGCCTCACAGAGGCTGCCTGCCTCAACCAGACATTACCTCACAGTGACATACCACCTGCCATCTCTCCCCCAAAATAATGATTTAGAGGGAGGGAAAAGGTTCTGCTTCAGAGAAAGAGGTTTTTCTTCTCTTTTAAATACAAGTACCTGATCTAATTTGGTCAACATGAAAAGACTGGCAAAGGCCTGGCAGTTAACTGTAAACTGGTACCCAACACATCTGTCATTCTTATCCTCCTTTTTTCAATAGGACTGCATCTCTAAAAAAAATAAATTTTCTTCTTCCTAGTCTTCCTTTTAGCTGGGACATTTATATTCTGAAACTCAGGAAGGACAAGATCATTAATGTTACAGTTCTTGTAAGTACAAGAAGAAGTAAGAATTAGAGAAAACAGAAACAAAAAACTAAGCTCAGTGGAAAAGTTACCCAAAAGGGCAAAAGTGCTACACTCTTTATTTCAGTCAGCTGAACAAGGAATGCAGAAGACCATGTAGAGGAAAGGCAGGTGTATATGCTCATCTTTCCTCCTAACCCAGGAAGAGCTTATGGTTCTCACTAAAATCTGGATTAAACAAACCACACTCAGCTCTGATCACCATTTTCCAACATTTTCTTCTTATTTTCTAGATCAGAGGTCCCATTAGTCTTAGATCTGGCCTACTAATCAAGTTCTGATTAACCGACAAAGGTTGTTTTTTGTTTTTAAACTTGAATAACTTGGCCAGCATTTAAAATTCAGACCTTCCTTCCTGAAGCCCAGAGGCAGCCAGGGCCCATGTGAGGAAGATGGTGGACAGGACGGGAAGGCAGCCCAGAGGCAGTACAAGGAGGTTATCTAAGCAGGGTGGTGCCCCACAAGGGTCAAAGTCCACACAAGGAGGGCATCTGAATGGGGTAGTGACAGGGAGGTTGGGAGACTGGCTACATACAAGGGAACTGAGTAAATAAATATGTTGAAGATAATAGAAGTCAGATTTCTCACTGTTGGAAAAAAGATAAAAAATATGGAAAGGGAAAAAGCTAGAATGAATACTGTAGTTTTGAGCTAGAATTGGAGGTATTTGTATGAACTCCTGATTTTCAATATAGAGATACAGAAATAAATATAGATGTAAATGTGTATGTATGTGTACATGTACGTATATCTATACACGTATTTCCTAGGTATGTCCATTGCAAGGACCTGATAGCAGAGACACCCCAGAGCAATGAGCATATCTAGCACCTGGATCTGTATGTCTAAATACTATCCTCCATTAAAAGCAACCACTGCTCCTTGGAGAAAATAGTTGATTCCAGGCTGGGACAGAGAAAGAAGATGAGCCTGAAATATCTTGTGCTCAAAGAATGAGGGGACATGTCAGAAGGACACAAAAGTCAGCTTAAACGGGCTCCCATTGGCCAAATCTGGGACAATTTGAGCATCAAAATAAATCACGATAGTAAAGGATTACAACCCATTAAATAACACAGGAATCCTTAAGTCCACATTGGTGTATATAAACAAATGAATAAATGAACAGGATGGAGAGAAAACTCTTCCTGGGAGTAAAATGCCAAATAATAAAAGTAAAAGGAATGATGGAATTAGAAAATCATTATTCCACAACCATCATAGTAATAACTCATTCAGGCAAGAAACATCAATGAATATTAAAATTGTTGGGTGAAAGTGAGATGAAGAATGAGATTTTACATGGTCTCAAAGTATCTCTTCATAAGATATTTATTAATTACAGAGGGGAAAACAAAGTAAATTTACAGTGGAGAAATCTGCCAGACATTGTCTTAAGTGCTCAAACACCACTAAATAGTTATCATGTACCATTGGATCTAATGCAATGAGAACATGGCATCACTTCTGTGACATTCTGGCCAAAAATACATAACCTCAGTCTAATTATGAAAAAATATCAGACAAACACAAATTGAGGGCCATTCTACAAAATGACCGGCCTAAATCTTAAAAAATGCTAAAGTCATGAAAGTCAAGAAAAGACAGAGTAAATGTTCCAGATCAAAGGAGACTGAAGAGACTTGACAACTAAATAAATATAACATGTGATCCTGGATTTGGAGCTTTCTGTTATAAAGAACATTATCAGGACAGATGGCCAAATTTGACTGTGGTCTCTAGAGGAAAGTTAAAAGGCAGTTCTTCATACTATTTTTACAGCTTTCCCATAACTTTGAAATGGTTTCAAAATTAAAAGTTTACAAACAAAAGTTTCTCAATAAAAATCTAGATTTTTCAGTCTCCCTTAAAAAACCAGAAGATCTGGCAATACCACCTGTCTTGGTCCATTCAGGCTGCCATAACAAAATACTATAAACTGCATAAAGTGTGTAGCTTACAAATAACAGAAATTTATTTCTGTTGGCTGGAAGTCCAAGGTCAAGATGCAAGCAGACAGACAGCACCTTCCTGCTGTGTCCTCACAGGGTGGAAGGGGTGAAGAATCCCTGCAGGGCCTCTTATATTAAAGGGCACTAATCATATTCATGAGGGCTCCACCCTCATGACCTAATCACCTCCCAAAGTCCCCATCTCCTAATACCGTCACCTTGGGGGTTAGGATTTCCACATATGAACTTGGGAGGTAGCATTCAGACCACAGCACTACCACATATCAATGATTTGCTGCCAATGAATAGTAAATACCCTTCAGGTGGGACATGTGATCTCTGGTTCTCCAGTCTCCACTGGGCCAAACTTTTCAGTGAATGTCCTTGTAAGCATTTAAGTTTGTGACTTGTGATTTAGATCTTCACATATCAAATTTCACCCTATTTAGGTCTGAAAGCTTCAACACAATTTATTAGAAACACCTAAAAGAGGTAATTCTCTACTAGGTAGCCCACGACCAAGTTTGCAAACACTGCTCCTAACACATACTGAAATTTACATGATGAATTAAGTCTTGAACCTCCCTCTTAATGAAATCAAGATTTAGGAAAAGTTCTCATGACAGAATTTCATAGCCTTGACCTTTAAACAAAAAAAAAAAAAAAAAAAAAGAAAAAAGAAAAAAGGAGCGGGGCGGGGTTCCTACTTTCTTTGTAAATCTGAAACCCTGAGCTCTATTTCACCACCTATGATGAACAGAGAACTATATGCCCTTTTCTCTCTTTTTTTGCCACATTAAAATATATATAGATTACCTTTATTCTGACAAATTCTTAAATCAAAAACTACATTTCCTTTTTGCTTTCTAATGTTTCTCAGTGAGAATCAATACAATGATGATAATTGTCTCAAACTCTTGAATGTGTATGTGAAGGAAGGGTTTCAATGTTAGACATATAGTAGGTACCTGATAAGCACTATCCGAAACTACAGCTGAGTTGCTTGTTCAGGAACTTTACCAACATGGAACTCAAAGAAGAAGGAAAGCAGAGTTAGTGGGGTCTTTGGAACTCTCTTCCCCCGTTCAAAAACCACTTTGTTCTTCTACGAATACGACACCATAGTCAGAGTTATAGAGAGTCTAGATGTAGGACAGTTAAACCGAACCCCCCAACCCTGCTTTGATAGCTACATGTTCTAACAAACATTCACTACAAATGTACAAAGTAAGGGAGGCCAACTCTCAGGAGACCCTGGCACATGTGTTATCTTTCAGCAGGTGTAACCATTCAGCACCAGAAAGGCCTGGAGGATGAAGAGACAGCACCTCAGGCAGCCTTGCCAGGAGCCACTGGGTTTCATCCTGGCCTGACCCAGAAAAATCTTATGGAAGAGAACAAGAGGCCCAAGAGCTCTCTGATCTGCTGTCAACCAGCTGCGGCCGGGAGACTGCCAAAGTGCTGCAGTGACTAGGCAGCGCCCTGCGGAGCCGTCTGGGAGGGGATTACCATCCTGATCCCCTGGTCTTCAGAGCCAGAAATGACTCAAACTTCACAAACAGCAAGGGCCTGCCAGGGAGGGTGACAATGAGCACTGGAGAGGGTTTTCTTCCCCTTGTTGGTGTCTCTTCCCCCTCTTGCTGCTATGGCAGATTCTGGACAGTGTGCGGCCTGTGAGGTAATCTGAATTCCTTGGCAACCGGCAAGTACCTGAATTCTTTCAAAACCACAGGAATCCAGCAGAGAAAAGGTAAATATCCCTGCGGAGCCAGTGTTAATTAGCAAGGAAGGCTACTGAAGAAGTAACTGGGGGTGGGGAGGAAGGCAGAGGCATTACAAATGCTTTGGGATATCTTCTGAATTTCCACTGAATAATATGGCTGAGTAGAAGAGAGGCGGTCCCTGACCCGGGCCTTCTCAGTGTCCCATCTTCCCAACCCACCGTGCGGATGGAGCTCTCCCAGTTCTCTGGACGGGCACTTTCATTTCCCTGCAGCTGACAGTGTTACCTATCTTTGGGTCTCTGATACGATAGCACATTTGATTTTCAACTCAATTTTGTTTTAATTTTTTTCAACTTTTTATTTTTCCTGTTTCAGTGAAAATTTGGCTATTAGCTTTGTCTCAAAAAAGGGCCTCCTGAAATCACTTAGACCACATACTGGATCCACCTAAAACTGTAAAATCCAGAACAAAGTCTTTTTGGATTCCACCTCTGTCAGGAAAAAAACCCTACACCATTTTGGTAGAGAAAAGCACCCCTCTCTGGAAACTTGAGCGCCCCCTGCTGGTGTAAAACAGTAACATACACGTGAAACTCAAAAAGTAGGAAGGGGCAAAACACTGGACTCAAACACCACTAAGACAATTTTTTAAAACGCCTCAATATTGTGCCCACGTATAAGAAAATAATGAGAGTCTTTCTACTTCCTATGTTAATAAAGCAAGGACAACTGAAATGATTAATCTAGAAAGAAACTATTTAGGGTCATTTTCTTTAGTAAATTTAAGAAGGTAAAGAATTTACACAAAATTCTTACTTCACAGAACCGTCTTATGAAATCAACTTAATCTTTCTGTCATTAAACATGAATTCTGAGGCCCCAAACAGAAGTGATATGGGATAAGACCCTTCTTTTCTGAAGAAGGAAACCAATTACACTGCCACCAGTTCTGTCTCTTTAGGAAAGATTATGGTTTTCCTTTTTGAGCCTCAAAGTAAAATGGTCTAGTGATCTCATCCCAAACTGATTACCTTCAGTAATGTCTATTTAAAACAAACGTGACCCAAGATTACTAGAGGCTGCAGATCTGGAGATGCTGCAGACTATTGTTGAAAGTAATGACACAGTCGAATGGCTTCTGAGGATTAAGAAGCAGGAGATGAGTGCCAAGATACACAGTGGTTAAGACACAGGGACTTAGGCACATGGAAGTTATTGTGCAGAGCAATGCACCCCTTGCAGGACTGGCTAATAGCCTGTCATAATGTACTACTGTAAAGCTTTTATATTCGCCTATACTTTTAGGTAAAATAGCCAAAACCCTGAAAATTCTTTTTCTTTTGGTTCAGTTTAATCCAAATTTTTACACATTTGTTTTCCAAATTATTCTAAGAAAGAGCATCCATTTTTAAAATATATAAATATATATACTCAGTTCCTGCTGGAGGCAAGAGAAGAGTTACTCAATTCAGTGGGTTCTGACTTCCAACACACAGCCAATAGCCAAAGCACTAGCACATCTGCAGCAAGTTCTATAATAAATATTAGTATTGTTCTCATTTTGCATCTGAGCCATTGAGGCTTTAAAACAATGCCGAATTTTACCAATAGCAAGGGCTATTAATACTGTGGGCGAAATACCTTTGGAATAATTTGCAGAACATATTGCTATGATATCCTTGAGACACACAGTAAGCATAAACTTGAGGTCTTTTCCCTATTCAAGAAGTCCAGTTCAGGGCTTCCCTGGTGGTGCAGTGGTTGAGAGTCCGCCTGCCGATGCAGGGAACACGGGTTCGTGCCCCGGTCCGGGAGGATCCCACATGCCGCGGAGCAGCTGGGCCCGTGAGCCATGGCCACTGGGCCTGCGCGTCTGGAGCCTGTGCTCCGCGGCAGGAGAGGCCACAGCGGTGAGGGGCCCGCGTACCGCAAAAAAAAAAAAAAAAGTCCAGTTCATGGCAGGACATAATCGGTTCCCGAGGAGGGTACAGGAGACAAACTGGGTGAGGATGAGTGGAGGGAGAAGGGTGAAGAAGCTCATGATACTAAGGAGGGAAAGCTCAGACATCTCATATTACAAAATGGAAAATCCTCAGCATCTTATACATCTGAGCAGAAGTAAGAGGCCTTATTTCACCTTCTTTTTGCTCTAGATAATATGGAGACTCAGCTTTTATCCCTATACTTCAAAATATGAGAGCACATGTGTCTAAAAACACTACAGAAAACTTCTTTCCGATGAAAATCTGATTAGATTAGTAGTTTGCGCCCAGATACCTGGTTCAGCCCTTTAACTAAAAACTGAGAAATATTTTAGTTTTCTCCCTTCTCAATTTTCAAGGAACCAGAGGCCAGAACTAGGGAGCTTCCGTGGCCTTCAGTGTTCCCAGGGCTCAAGCTCAAATCTTAGTTAAGAATGTGACCATGCTTATAGATGCTGTCACTGCCACCTAGAGGTGAAGGGAAGACATAGCTCAACCAGGTAGAATCTGGTTAACTGTTCTCACCCTCTGACTCTAGTCACACGATGCACCAAAAATTTTAGTCGAAAAAATAATTAAAATAATTGAAATCCGATTCTAAAAGAACAGTTGTCAGAGTACAATGATATGTCTCAAAGCACCTACACCTAAATATGTAGCCTTCTTTTATCCACGGTATTTCCCATCTTTGATGTACATTTCCTAAAATACAGAAACATATATAGGCCATGCTTTTTACAGATGCAAACCACCTCCTAAACTGCTATGCTCTATAAGAAAACTATGCATAAAAAGAACTTCAGAGTTCTTTGGTAAAATATATATATACGTTTTGTGGGGGAAATACATATATATATATATATAAGCTTTGTGAGAGAAAAGAACACAAGCACACCAAAGTTATATGCTTATTTTAAACAATTTAAAGGGTCTAAAAAAAACACTGTCACCTGTAAAATCCTATGGATGTGGGAAATGAAAATTCAATTATAAGTTGAACTTTATTTTGTAAGTCACACTACCTTAAAACTTAAGAAGTACCTCAAGAAAAACAGAAATATATATATATATTTATATATATAATATATATATTATATACATATTATATATATATATATTTTATATATATAATCACTGTAAAATATATTACAGCCTTGTAAGTGAAAAAAAAAAAAAAAGCAGCTAATGCCCACCCTAAATACAAGAGGGCATGAAACAGCTCAAGCCTTCAGCTCTGGAGTCAGATCCAGGGGTTCAAATTCCCACTCCACTATCCACCTGCTGGAGACCTCAGGGGAGTGACTTCAAGTTCCCTTACGCAAAGCCTCAGTTTCCGCAACTGCAAAAATGCATCGCCTTTAAGGTTGTTGTGAGCATTAAAATAAATGCTTGGTATATAACAGGTATACACATGTGAGTTTTTTTTTTTTTTTCCTTTTTAGACCATTTGTGAACAACAGTGGCCCTAGGATCTTCATACCAATTGCCATTGCATGAAAATACAATGTGACCCTGGATCCCTGCTGGGAAAGGTGTGTGTTTACATACAAATGCTTGTTCATATGCGTGGATATGCAAGAGAGACTGTGAAGTGATAAGACTGATTTCTGTAATCTGAAGCCCATCTGGGGACACTCTTATTTTCCTGAGTTGAATACAACAGAAAAAAACAACCTGATCTTAATACACTCTTTAATGGGTCAACTCGAATAAACACCCTCCCCCTCCGCTCAAGGTCTCTTACCTAGCCAGTCCTTCTTCATAGAGATAGATGACAAGAGGATCATAGGAAGTCACAAGCACATAGAGGCGCACGTCAAACTTGAAATCTGGAAAAAAAATTGGGGTACACAGGTAAAGCTAAGCTCATTTGTCTTCTGTTACAGAAGGAATAGTACAATGTAACAAAGAAATATGAAAGACAGTCCTCCTCTCCCCATGAAACATACACTGCCCACACACCTTCCCTTTTGAGGACAAATAATTATACCATACATTGTAAATATATATATACATGCATTGTACAGTTTTCATATATATTTGTTTCTGTTGTAACATATAAAGCACTTTCTTTTTTATTATGTCAAAATCAACTTCAAAATAATACCGTGAGGTAGGTAAGGAACCAGCTTCATCTCTGGAGCCACAGTTGCCAAGAATTTCACACTAGCTTAATAAAGACTTAATAGAGAAGACTATAAAAACATTAAAAAAAAAATTTAGTACGATCTAGCCCAATCCAGTCAAAGACCTAATCACAACTCACCATCTATGAGCAGGGGGTTGTTAATGTAACGGGAGACCAAGATGTTCTCTTCCAGGGAAATCTGGTTTGGCTGTTGAGTAAAGAGAAAAATGAAAGGTAGAAATGCAAAGGAATCCTGACTTACAATAAAGAAGCAAAGTTCTTAACCATTTAGAAATGATACTATGGAAAACTAAAACTCTAAGAAAAGGTTTCCTCTAAGTTACCCATATATTAATTGGCCATATAACACACCACTTCCATAAACACTGTGAGAATCCAATTATAATGGGGGAAAACAAAATTTACACAGCACCTCTCATAATAGAGCCTAAACAGCTTTAAAGATTTATATACATGATATTAAATATTTACATGCCAAGAAAATAAAAGCTACTTAAAAAATAAATTAAAACTTGCTTCCTCCCAAATGTAAAGCATGTTGGATATTTTAGAATACTACCATTATTCTTACAGGAAGGCTTTCATCAAGTTGTTCAGAGAACTTACAGATCTTTCCACAATGGATCCCGGCATTTTCCCTGTGAAATGGGATGGATATTTCACTGACTCACTCAATAGTGCTTGCTATGCCACTGCAGGTAAAGAATGAACTAGATCTTTTAAATACTTTTTTCAACGAAGAAGAGCTGTCTATACAATAAATAATGGTGAGTATGATGGGTATTGTATAAGGCACTGGGGATACAGTGATGAATAAAACAAATGCAATCCCTGCCCTCACAGAGCCCAATCCCTACTCCCAAAGAGTTTGATGTTTGAGTAGAGGGACAGCAAATATATAGAATTTAAAAGAACACAAAGCAGCACGACTCCAAGTGCAAGATGTGAGGCTGCAGAGTGGAAAGAGATCTGGAAGAACAATTCCAAGTGAGACTAAAACAGAAAAATCAGTTGTCAGTCACCACAATCCATACAGGACAAAGGAACTCCAAAAGGGAAGTGGCTATAATGATAACTGTGATGATAATAGCTATAGTAGCAACAACAGAAACACTATTAACATTTGCAGGAAAAGAATTTTAATAAATGTACTGAAGATTTGCTATGTGCCAACACTGTTCTAATCCTTCACAAGTATTATTTCATTTAATCTTCATCCAACCCATGGTAGGTATAACACCATCCAAATATTACAGATGAGGGAAGAGTCAGAGAGGGTTAGGAACCTGCTCAAAGTCCCACAGCTAGTAAGTGATAGAGCACCATTTGAACCCAGGCAGTCTGCCTCAGAAGCTTAATTCTTAAGCACTATTTGCACCTTTTCTCACAAGTTCTGACCTAAAATAACTGTCCAAACCCAAAAGTTTGCCTTTATAATAATGCATTTGCCATCCTAAGTACTACAGTTATAAAATAAGGATAATTGTGTGACCCATAACATCATACACAACCACAAGAAGCAACTCCGGGGTCAAGATAATGAGATTCCTCTCTCATTTCCCACTGCTGCCATCTCAAACTCAGAACACAACTTCACAAGCCATCTCTATGCATCATACGGACACTACAACATCACTACTGATTCATACTCTGGACTTGGTGACCCACACCATTTCCTGATCAGTTTCTCACACGTACTATCTCTATTTTGAGTCAGCTTAGTAAGTAAGAACTGATGCAATCACAGTACAAAGAAGCAAGCTGCAGGCTTCCAAACCTAAAATTAAACAATTGCAGCTCTTTTTCTACTAAGTAACACCTACAGGCTACAACAGATATGTAACCACCCAACTCTACTTGGAACCAGAGACTACAGTGGTAATGGTCTTCACTCTATGACACATCTAACATCCATGCCCATTTCCTCTCTTCTCTTCCTCATCATATACATTTGTCCTTTGAATTATGCGTAACATAATCTCTTACATTATTTCGGTAACTTTAGTATTTGTTCAATGGTCTATACCTCTCATTTCTATCTGCACTAGTAATTAAATTGTAAGCTCACGGAAGAAAAGAATTGTTTGAGTACAGTTTTTTTGTATAGTGTAATATACTGATAAGCAACTAACGAAATTTTTGACATCTTCAAGCCTGTCTCCTTTTCATCCATCCCCAATTAACTCATTTTAAATGATGTTAATTCTAAGCTCAAATTGCCCTCCCAAGTATGCTAAAGCAAGAATCTGAATTGTTGGGAAAGTTGGAAACCCATCCATTTTTCTAATTCAACTTTAAGATTAAAGCTCATGGTATCTGTTAAGTTATTGTAAGGTAGACTGGTACAGTGGTTAAGAGGGCACGCTCTGGAATCAGCAAGATGAGTTAAAATCTTCACTTACTATGGAAGGAATAGTAACTACCTCTTAGGGTTCTCATAAAGTCTAAGTGAGATTATATTTGGAAGGTACAGTGGTAGGCACATAGTAGATGCTCAAGAAATATCAGTTAGTATTATTATTGCAAACTCAATAGTATCTATGTGGTTCCATTTACTGAGTTCCACAACTCAACAGCATTCCTCACGACGTGCCACACACCATTCTGCTCAGAGCAGTGCACTGATTTATAATGAAGATACATAAGAATTAGGAGATGATCCCTATTCCTGAAAAGCCTTTAAGGAGTGGCAGCACCTGGCACACAACAGGGACTCCCTAAATATTTGTTGAACAATGAGAAAAAATGGAGAGCACCTAAGAAAACATAAACAAATAGAAACAAGAGAGCTGTACGGAATTATATTCACAAATATAGGAGTGAAAAGAGTGACCAAAATACTCTCCTGATACTTCAAAATCTCAGAGAAAACACTAGTATTTTATTTACCATGAATAATGTGTGAGACAAGGATGACTAAATTTGACTTCCATAAATCAAATTCATACCTTAATCAGAAAACACCAGATCTTTTCCCTCCTCGATTTGAATATACTAAATTGGGAAAATATGGCATTTAGTCACGGTTACTGCAGGAGCTGGAGCAAACACAACTCTGTTCCTTTATGCTGTATTTTCAGAGCTAAAAAGCACATCATTAAGAGACCACGTTCGCCAATCAGCCAAGATGCTTCCATCTGTAGGAGCTCACACTCCTCTCTCTTCAGTATTACATAAAAGTAATCCTTCTTCTATCCTTTATCCTATTCTCATAATGGTAAAAGTTGCTATTTGCAGATATTTTCCAAAAGGTTATGACTATTAGGGGGAATTTTTAATAAGAGGCCCTCTCATTCCTCACTCCAGTGGGAAGACAGGGAGAGATGTTTTTATTTGGCCCTCACACCTAACTCTGCCCTCCCTCCCCCATCCCTCACCCACTCACACTAGCTCTGCTTGCAGACCCTCCACTGGAGCACTCCCTCTCCCTCCCCCTTGAATCTAAAAGGAAAGCAGGCAGCAGCCTTGGAAAGAGTTACTTCATCCAGTTGGCTAATGGGTCACATATTCCATGGGAAAGGATCCAGGTATGGAAAAGAGGAGATGGTTAGGCCTTGTGTGTAAGGAGGGAGAGAAGAGTATTAACTGCATGGTTTGTAGGTCTGGGTAAAAGGTGATAAAATTCCAGATTTGGAGAAAAATGGGAATATTTTGCCATTATGTCCACATGTTGCCAGCTCCCCTGGTGCTTGCTGGCATCTTCCCAGGCTTCTGTCTGGCACTTCCACCAAAGACCTCAAAGAATCAGACTCATTCCAAAGCTTCACTGAGCGGGAGGTGGCAGGCAAAGGGTCCTGCCAAGTACTTTGATCTCTGCAGGGGGTCTCTAGGGAGTCAGCCCAGGGAGATGTGGGAGGGAGGAGAGCCTGCCAAATGCATTCTCTAAAGACTTGTCACCCCCTTTATGAGAGGCGCGCGGCATCCAGGGAAGAGTCAGGGCATGGGGTTCTCAGCCCCACCAAAGAAAGTTTAACTTTTCTATTCTTTATGATGTTGGTTTTAAAATAACAAATCACCAGGGCAAAAGAGCATTCCAAGAGAAAAAAGTCCCAGATGAGCTGGGAATAGATCCTATTCTTTTTGACTCATGTCTAAGAAAATATAAAGCAAACTTGTACCACAGTTGACTTTCAATAGCAATTCCATTTGGCAGCTAAAACCCAAACCCAAACTAGTGCCGTCTATGAGATTCAAACAACACTGAAGCTCCTGGCACGAAGCTGAAGGAAAAGCTGTTGGACAGGAGCCTTCACACCAAGGTCAGAAGAGAGACAAGAAAAGAGAGATCCAAGGCTTATGAGCAGTGCCTTCTGTCACAAGAGACCCAGGGCAAAAGGCCCTCCAGAGTGACCCTGGGTCAGGTAGCAGAACTTGTAGCCTGGGCTTGGGGCTGTATAGCTACTGCCTCAGAACCAGAGCCTATATTTCTTCAGCATGAAAGGGCTGGCCATCAGTGTTTACTGTAGAGTTTTTAGTCCAGACTGAATTTAAGGATTTTCCCATATGAAAGACCCCTTAGAAAGTTAGTTTCTGCACATATAGGAAATAGCTCAGACCATGTGAAAAGAAAGAGAGCTGGGGAATTTGGGATGGTGTACCGACCACACACATGGCATATCCGCCTCCCCCTCTTCCCTTCCAGGGTCCCACCGTAAGGACAGAGTAGACATTTTTATTTATTTATTTATTTTTTAATGCGATACGCGGGCCTCTCACTGCCGTGGCCTCTCCCGCTGCGGAGCACAGGCTCCGGACACGCAGGCCCAGCGACCATGGCCCACGGGCCCAGCCGCTCTGCGGCATGTGGGATCCTCCCGGACCGGGGCACGAACCTGCGTCCCCTGCATCGGCAGGCGGACTCCCAACCACTGCGTCACCAGGGAAGCCCCAGAGTAGACATTTTTAAACGTCTGAAATGATAACAAGGCTAGAAAACAGTTAAAGGAGCCAACAAAAGACCAAAGGTTTAAGGAAATCCTGAAAGACAGAAAGAAGATAGGAACAGGTTGAGGAAACAGAGCAGAAGAAGCCCCAGCCCCAAATATCAGAGGTGAGAGTGATCTTCCCAAGGAGACTTCTGAGAAGTTCCATGCTGGCAGTGAACTAACACGAAGAGCAAGAGGGAGCCAACGGACAAGAATCAGATAATTAATTAAATAACAAACAGCATTTAAAACAGTGCGGCCAACAGGCCTTCTTCTCCAGCAACCAAAGCTTTGCCCTCAGGATGAAACCTAACAACTGTCTCGGGAGGACACCTTCTGTGGGTGGGCACAGGGATCCCACAGAGGAGTGGAACTTGAGGCCACTGCATCCTTACAGCAGACACAAAGTTGAAGAGAGAGGAAAGGTAGCACCGCCCCACAAGGAAATCACCAAACTCTTCCTTTATATCCACAATCAGGCAGGCCCTGTTTTGGCAAGGGGGAAGGAAGAAGCACGCTTCCTCACCCATATCCACCTAAGGTGCGGCCTGACATTCAACATACTTTGCCCTCACACAAAGCACAGTCAGCCTCCTGCCCAGTGAGATGTTATTAGGGAATCAGTCCTACACTGAAACCCAGGCCAGCTGTCAAAATTTCAATCAGTCTAGTCTTGTTCATCAGTGTGACTCAACATCTAAGGTCACTGAAATTGAGAAAACCCAACAGCAGGAAAAAAAAAAACACGATCCCATGAAAATTGGTGAAACAAAAGAGAACTTTAAAAAACTTGCAATTCGTATCCTCAGAAAGACCCGCCAGCAAACTGCATCTATTAAGCAACAACAGGCTGTTATCACAAAAGAAAAAAAAAAAAAGGCAAATGAGAAAATAAGAGTGTTTGTACCTTACGATAGCCAATATAGAAATACAGTAGATGGAATGAATGATAAAAGGGACAGAGCTCACACCGGTGATCCAGAAGATAAAGATGGGAAAAGACAGAGAATTTAAAATGAGAGGAAAGTTGACATGAAGAAAACACCCAGAATGCCTCAAAAAGGAGTACCAGAAGCAGAAGCATAGACAAAAAATGAATGATTTTTCCTGAACTAAAGAAAAACACTAGCTTCCAGATTGAAAGGGCTGACCAAAGGTCCAGGAGGAAGAATGAACAAAGACCCAGACTGAAATATTGGTTAAATTTCAGAATTCCCATATGTAAAGTTTCTATTTGAGTTAAAATTTTTTACTCAACTTATAGATAAAGCAGAGAAACTGAATCATAGTCACTGAAGAGAATGTAAATATCATAAACCTTTAAAATATAAAAATAATAAAAAGTAATCAAAGCTAGAGATGTAATGTGGAAGGAAGGGTAGGGGGTGATATGAGTGCAGTGAATATCAAACTGAGAATTAGAAACAAAATGTAAAGTTGAGAAAAGAAGAAACATAAATCAACTGTATTAGGTTACTACTGTTGTTAGTCTAGCCAGTGAGAGTGGGGTTGGGATTTTATTTCATTTACTTTGTATATGTATTCAACTGAAAAACAACTTTTAATGAGGATTTTGCAAAGAATCAAGATATTAATGACTTTTGAAAAAAGAAGAGGATGAGGAGGAGGAAGAAGAAGAGGGGGGACGGAGGGGGCCAGGAGCAGCAAGGATGCCATGCCAGATTAAGGTTAATTTGCTTGAGGACCTTGAGGGCAGGAACCCACAGTTCTCCTCACAATAGGAACTAAATGTATGTGCTACCAATTAATGCTTAGTGCCAAGGAATTAGCAAGGCAGAATGCTGAAAGCAGAAAAAGTACCTCTTTTCTGCTGACACCAAAGGCTGCCCTCCCCCCAAATTCAATCAAGTGACTTATTAGCCATAGAGTAACTGTTGGCATGGGAGGAGGTTACTGCCAGTAAGGTGAACAATAGACTCATACCCATCCTCAAATCACACTTCTGAATGCAGACTTAGTAGCTAAGACAAAGGGTGAAGCAGGGAAGAACAAACACAGAGCGAAGTATGCCACCCGCTGCATACTTACATTGTTGATCAGGTAGACACCCCGCCCCCTGGAAGAGGCCACTGGTTTTACTATCCAAGGTCCCCGGTCCTTTGAATATGAATCTGCTCAAAATATTGGGAGACAAAATAGGGGAGAAAGAAACAAAGAGAAAGAAGGGACATGAGTTTATTATCTTAAATTTTAACACTAGTTATCTACTCAGGTACCCAAAGAATTTTCCAAATTTATAAGTGGAGGACAGCAACTAAAATAACCTGTATTTTTGGACTAGCCTTAAAAATGAAAACAGAGAAAGAGAGAGAAAGGAAAGAGAGGAAGAGATGGCAATATTACATAATATATTTCTTCCACCATTTCCCCTCTTGAATGAGAGGATGAAGACAAAATAAGGCAAATATCTGGACGTTAGTCTATTACTGTCACAAACAACCTTCACGAATCTTTGATATCCTCGCCTCCTTTAACTAAAGGACCTCCAGAGGCTCACACTGCAGACGGTGACAACGTGAGTCAAAGGCCAGATCCCCTAATATGGTTACTTTCCTCAAGCAGTTTCTCTGAGCTTATAAGAAAAAATCGCCTTAAATAAAACAATGTGAGTGGAAAGGTAGGACAATAATTGACGAGTGGTTAAAAGGTGCCCTTTACTTTTGTTCCTTTCCCAGGTTCAGGTTTACGCTTTAAATACCTTTGGATCATAGGAAAAGAAAACACACAACCAATATGAGGAGTCCCAGAGGCCTGCAGATGGCTCCGGCCTCCACTTAGGGAAGGTCAGTGGACACGAGAGAGAAGCAGAGACAAAGGACTCTCCCTCTGATAGGAGCCAAACTGTCTTTTCAAGGCCTCCCAACAGGAACTTGACTTGTGTCGGTGCCACAAACCATTTCACCAGGAGAGAAAGAAGACCTCCTTGTCTTCTCTCCGCCACCCTCCCCTGCTTTTTCCCTTGATGTGACCTCACAGAATTAGAAAAAATGCCATGTGCCACACAGAATGCAAAACTCCATGAGCAACTCCACTTCTGGGAATGTATTCTCTAGTCCTGCTCACACATACTGAAACATTCTTTGTACAAGATTATTCAGTGCTGCATTTTAATAGCAAAAGACGTCCATCAACTAATTAAATACACTATATTGCATCTATATGAGGGGCCGGCAAACTATTTTTTGGTAAAAAGCCAGATAATAAATAGCTTAGGCTTTGCAGGCCATGCAACTATTCAACTCTGTCATTGTAGCTCAAAAGCTACCAGAAACAATACGTAAACAAAGGAGCATGACTGGGCCCCAAAAAACCTTTATTTATGGACACTGAATTTCCTATGATTTCCACATGCCACGAAATTTTATTCTTCTTTTGATTTTTTTTCAAGCATTTAAAAATGTAAAAATCATTTTTAGCTCATGGGATACATATAAAAAGGCATAGGACCAGATGTGACACAAGGGCTGTAGTTTGCAGACACCTGCTCTACATAATGAAATATTAAGCAGACACACAAAATGAGAATGTTATTAAGGAACAGAGAGGGAATGAGCTCAAAGAGACTGTTGAGTGTTAAGAAGTAAAGTGCAGGGCACTGGGTATTGTATGCTCCCATCTGTTCACATACACACTCAAGCCATGTGCCAGTAAGTGCAGAGAATACCTCTAGAAGGATATGTAAAAATACTAATAACACTGATCACCTCTGGGGAGAACTGGATGACTGAGGAAAAGAGGAGAAAAAAGGCTTTTCACTGATTATTGTTTTGTATTTTTTTGGGGGTACCGTGACTATATTACCTACACAATTTACATAATTTTAAATTCCTGCAATAGATGGCATATTTATATAAGACAAATTAATCTCTATAAACTGAAGTCACTGAATAGATGCATATATATATACATTTTATATATTTTTTCCATTTTGCCATTTTCCCCAAATTCTGAGGATACAATAGTTTGAGAACAAAAGGAACAATTAATAGTAAAATAAAACAAAAAAATTACAAAAAATTTTAAACTTCATTCATTCATTCAATACTTCTAAGTACCCAACCTGTGTTACGCAGTTTGCTAGTATGGGGCATGCAGGAGTGAAAAGACAGCAGAAAGGCAGGCCCTAAGCAAGTAATTAGACACACCGAGCTCACAAAGAGGAAGTGAGGGAGCTACATACAGCAGTGCCGAAGAAAATGACCAGACCTGTCTGAAGACAGTACCCCCTGTGGTGACAAGTGGACGCAGAAAATGCTCGTTTTCAGAACAGGGAAAATCTAGCTAAATGCAACTTCTGCCATCTAACGCGTTTAATAAATCTTACTTTGTGGACTAGGCTTATCAGAAGTTTCTGCTGCTTCTGGTGCTTCACATTTATCATGTTCTTGAAATTCTAAATATCAAAAAAAGTGTCTTCATGCTAGGCCTTTCTCCTTGATTTGCTGTCTTTCAGAACAAGGATTGATTTCTTTCACAGGTTCCAAAAATGTGGGTCAGAAGCAAAGCAAGGCAAAGAGCTTGGCAGCCTGTCAGGATAAAGATATACTAGACAGGGCCTGCAACTCTTTCTGGTGCCTTCCAGGTCCTATGGTGGCAGCATGCTCAATCTAATGGAAAGAGCACTGAACCAGGCGTAGGAAGATCTGAGTTCTAATTCTGACTTTTCTAATTCCGGGCAATTTGCTTAAATTATCCGGTCTCATCTTTAAAATGAGAGGTTTAGTCATTTGAATTATGAGATCTCTCATAATCCTACTATTATGAGTCTATAAATTTACTGATTGCTTTGAAATCCAGTCATCTGAAATTAACTGGCTGACATTAAAGTTTTGCTCATTCCTTAGAATTATTTCTGTCTCTCTTGCAACTAAAGATGACCAGAGGATGCAATTCTGGGCAGTGAGAAGTAAACAGAAATCTGCCAGGGCGTGGGGGGAAAGTTCTGCTTTTCTGATATTGGCGCCACCCTGCCTTCCTTCTCCCTGCTTAGAAAGCTGTCCACAGCTGGGGAGTGGCTGCAGTTGGCAAGATTCTTAGTTAGGTTCTTCGGGGTCACAGACCTCCGACTGTACTATATACTGTTACACTAGCAACAGTGGCACCAGGAATCTAGCAAGATCTGGTCTGTATATTCCAAGCCCCACATTTTAATTACTGGGAACAGTTTGGCAGTATCCAGGCTTTCACATCTCTTGAGGCAGTGTTTGGTCTCTGGGCTAGGTCTCTACAGGGATGGATTTCAGGTTTTTTCTTATTAGAACAAAGAGCTATACAAATTCATGAGATCTGCCTTGGCTGGTCTCTCTAGAGTCTTCAGGCAATCCTCATATCTGTTCCTTATCAGTTCCCTTTCAAAGGCTCTTTCGCAGGCTAGTCACATGCCTTTCTGCTCCTCTCAAACACCCAAACCCATCCCTAGGCCCCTCATTCCTGGTATGTGCCCTCATCACCCTCTCACCAAGAAGGCTGGGAATCTGTAACATAAACCCACTCACCTGCTTTCCTCTCCATCTAAAATGTTACCTGGATGACCATTTAGCCTTCTTCTTTCTCTCCTTTTAGGGGAGAGACACGCCCTCCTTTCTGAAGCTCACCCTTCTACTTGGGCTCTTGACTAAACCCTCTCCTGCCTCCTCTGGGACCTCATTCCCTTGCTCATATCTTCAAGCTCTCTCTCCCCTCTGATTTCTCTGTAGTTCTTCTCTTCCTTTTTCCCTTCCTTGGTAGTAACATCCACCTCCATATCTGCAACTTCCAGAGCCTATAACTGGCCAGAACTCAAAACTGCCTTTACAACTGCCTGCAAAACATCACCACATGCAGGCCTGCAGGCACCTCAGATCCACACCAGGTCCAAAATGTGACACTCCTCTTGCCCTTCAACACTTTTCCTCTACATCAGTGGTCCCCAACCTTTTTGGCACCAGGGACTGGCTTCGTGGTTCCACAGCCGAGGGGTTGGGGAGTGGGGGGCAGGGGTGGTGGTTCAGGTGGTAATGCGAGCGGTGGGGACGATGGGGAGCAGCAGGTAAAGCTTCACTTGCTCGCCTGCTGCTCACCTCCTGCTGTGCGGCCCGGTTCCTAACAGGAACCCCCGGGGTTGGGGACCCCTGCTCTACATTCCTCGTTACACTCCCTGGTTAAAGACTTAATGCTCCTCCCAGCTTCTCAGACTCACACCTTTGACCTCTGCCTCACTACTCACAGCCACTTAGTAAACTGTGTCTATTCTGCATTCGTTCCACTGCCTCCGTTCTGTTCCAGCTACCTAGCTCAGTCTAACTACACTTCTTACCTGGATTATGACTTCCAAAGCGACCACTGTGTTTCTTCCCCCTGCTCCTTCCAATTCATTTCATGCAGTTATTTTCCTAAAGGCCAACCTGTTCATGTCACTTGCCTTCTCAAAAATGTCCTATTGCCTGTGCTCAAGCAAGCACTGGAAGGTCAGGAACACAAGTGTCATGGAGAAAAGGGAATTTCTGAGTTATAATATGCTAGGTAGACAGCAGAGGAAATGAAGAGAACTTAAAACAGACTTTAGGAGGAAGAGGAATGTCTCTTTGAAAGAGGAAGTAGTAGGAAGAGGCAAGTTTCTCCCCTAATATGTAAACTTAGCAACACAACTGATCTACTAATGCTGGATTTCTCCCCAGTGGATTTAAGTGTAGAGGTCGCGGACTCTGGACTACTGGCAAAGAATGACTGGCATCCTGGCAGGACTGAAACCAAGAAGCTTCCTCTTTACCATCACATCTTCCCTGGTCCCTCTTCTACCACACAACAAGTCCCCGCTGTGGTCTTTGGGAGGCAACAGCAATGAGGGATTTTTTTTGAGACTGAAGAACATCATTTGCCTGTAATAACTGCCTTGGGGCTCAATGTGGTGGCTTTGGGTTGCAGCTATATTCATTCTATTTGTGCTACTGACCTTTTGAATTCATTTTTGTTAGAATGTAGAAACTGTAAGAGTTTGAATAATATGCTGAAGAAACAGGGCTTCCCTGGTGGCGCAGTTGTTAAGAATCCACCTGCCAATGCAGGGGACAGGGGTTCGATCCCTGGTCTGGGAAGATCCCACATGCTGCAGAGCAACTAAGCCCATGCGCCACAACTACTGAGCCCATGTGCCACAACTACTGAGCCCATGTGCCTAGAGCCCCTGCTCCGCAACAAGAGAAGCCCGTGCACCGCAACGAAGAGTAGCCCCTGATTGCTGCAACTAGAGAAAGCCTGCACGCAGCAACAAAGACCCAAAGCAGCCAAAAATAAATAAAATAAAATAAATAAATTTATTTTTTAAAAAATATGCTGAAGAAACAGTTCTACTGAAACACAGGTCAGGCTTGAATGCATGGAGGAACTCTAACTCTATCCAATCTTCTGAATGAGCATCCAGCCCTCAAACTGCCTCCAAAGGGTGGGGAAGAACCACAGAATAAGAGATAGCAGAGAGGAGAAAGGGAATTTTCAACTTAATATCCCTTTAGTGTTTACTAGGAAATTATTCTGGACTCTGACTTCTCAATAGGAATTCAACAGCAGGGAGTTCATATCAGGAATGCTTTTACGTTGCTAACATGTTAGTTGAAGTATTTTTATGCTATCATGTTGGCTTATTACACAATTTTTTACTTTTATTATATAACAATACATCTCTACATAACTTGAAATAGGAAATATTATTGCACATTTATTAAGTACCCATCAGGCACCACTCCAAGTGCTTTCCATGTGTTAACCTATTTAAATTTCCCAACAACACTACAATGTCAGTACTAGTAACAATCCCATTTTACAGAGGAGGAAGCTAAGGCACAGGAGGTTTCAATAACATGGCTAATAATCCCATAACAAAAATTCCTAACTATAAATGTTCAGCTTTGAGTGCACTGTAGCTTTGAAGTTAACTTAATTCATCTAGTGAATACTCTACTCTGACCCATTTCAGAGCCTTCTGTGGGCAAACACTGAACTGCCAACCACTGGTCCCAGCGGGGTAAACAAGTGCTCTCAGAAGAATGGCCTCCCCAAGGTGGGAGCAAGAGACCCTGTGACCATTCCTGATGCAAGTCCCAGAGGATGAACACCACACTGTGTGACCAGACCAGACCACTAGGTCCAACAGGTTAAAAGAATCAAATGTCAGGAAGTCTAGAGAAAAATTTCTCTTCCTCTCTCCATGCTTCCTCTACCTATAAGACAGGAAAAGTCTTTTTCTTGGACTTACTGAGAAGAAAACTGTCTTGCTGTCCTCTCTGTGTGTCATAACTGATCCTCCTCACAGAAGTGACTTCTCCCATGGGTGGTCCTGGGAAATGGTCATTGTGTGCATATGCCCACTGTCTTGGCCACAAAGCACAGTGGTGAGGAGCCTGGCTTCTGAAGCCAAACTGCAGGGTCTGGATCCTAATCCCACCATTTGCAGCCACATAACTTACAGAAAGTTACTTAGCCTCTCTGTACATTAGTCTCCTCACCTATAAAGCTGGGAACAATAACAGTACCTACCTCAGAATAGAGGCTCCATTTAGAAGAGGGCCTAACAGAAGGGAAATGTTCATTAAGTGTTAGCTATTATTATTTTTCCTATTTAGACTCTCACAAAAGACCTGCCTCACACCTTCTCTGTATTCGTGCCTCTTCTGTGCTCTAAGTCTACTGAGGCAGGCATTGCCCGCCATGGGGGAAGAGTCCAAAATAGCCCATCTCCTCTGCTTGGACCTGGGGAGGTAAGTTCACTTCAAGACAAAAGAAGCAATGAGACTTGGATGCAGGCCATGCATTCCCAGCTAGCTTTACCACCAATACAGCAGACGTTCACATGCCTATTTCGCTCCCATGAATATTTTTCAATTAGTCTGTACTCCAAGAAGAGAGAATGTGACTAACTGGTACCTCTAAACCCTAACACCAAAAGATGCATGATATGTGTACCCCAAAGAACATAAGTCACACAAGTCCAAAATTCGAGGGGACAGGGATATTCCTTAAATGACAAGAGGAAGAGAGACACCAAAAAGGATGCATATGTAGTTCATATGCAGAAGTATATCCATCCTTACATGGGCACTAACTCTTGTCAATGAAAAAGAGACTTTTTGTAATAAACAGGAGCACATTTATACAATACCAATGTGTCCTTACATAAATGTCCTTACTAAGAATAAATACACACATATACGCTCAGAACAGTTTTAAAGTTATCTCTGCAATTGTTTTACTAAAGAAACAATTTTTTAAGGATCTGAAAAGCCCTGATTGGTTCCTGACTTGAGGCAGCCCTTGGAGTAAATCTGCCCCAAGTTCAGCTGCTGGGGATGGGGGATAGGGGACGGGGGTGAGAATGGAGCATCAGGAGTCAAGCACTTACTACAGAATTCCGCATACTCAGCTGGCAGCAGGAAGGTCTGAGGGAGGATGTGAAAAGCCTTGAATCCGTGCGTATGCTGCATTCGAATGATGTTTTTGTACAGTCGGTCCTTCCGGGTTAGTTCATACGACCTAAATTTCATAAAAGCATTTCCATTTCAGTACGCTATGACTCAGAGGTTATCCTGTGTCATCACACACTAAAGAGTTCACAGTTCACGAGCAGTTACTGAGGATAGTATTATATCCCAAATCTATCACTTTGTCAAGGAAACGATCACCTTAAAACTAGGGCAATAAATGCTACCTATCAGGGAGGGTAATCTGGCAAACTACAAAAAGGCACTTCAGTTGGCCTCGACTGGATTCAAGAGTCTATGGTTTGTTGCACTATTTAAAAACCATCTAAGAATCTTTGCTGTAACCATTAAAACTGCATTCTAGCTGTTCCTCAGTTCAAAATTTTCACGTTGATTTCTTAAAATCGAAAGTTGCTTTGCCAAATGTAGGTATCACCAATACTTCTTTCTTACCCACTGTCCTCTTCAGATCTAGAGCAGAGATCCTCAAATTTTAGTGTACATAAGAATCACCTATAGAGTTTCTTTAAAAACGAATGTTCCAGGGTCACATCTCTCAAAATTCTGCGATGAAGTCTAGGGCTCTGCATTTTAAGCGTGGACCCCAGGTGATTTTGGTACAGATGGTCCGGAGGCCACAATGTAACAGTGATTTAGTCTAGATCAGTAATTTCCAAACTTGACTGAGATACAGATCACCTCATTGCTTTTAAATATATAACTTTCTAGGTATATATTTACCTAGAAAGATTAAGCGCCTAGAAGGTGCTTTTAAAATATACACCTTCCCTGGAGATGGTGATGCCTTGAATCTGCAGTAAGACCTATGAATGTAAAGTACCCCTAGTGACGCTTATCATTAAGGAATTAGAAACAATGAACCAGGCTGAGGGGACCTTCAGGATGGTGGAGGAGTAAGACGTGGAGATCACCTTCCTCCCCACAAATACATCAAAAATACATCTACATGTGGAACAACTCCTACAGAACACCTAATGAACGCTGGCAGAAGACCTCAGACTTCCCAAAAGCCGCGTGGCTGACAGGGTCTTGGTGCTCCAGCCGGGTGTCAGGCCTGAGCCTCTGAGGTGGGAGAGCCGAGTTCAGAACGTTGGTCCACCAGAGACCTCCCGGCCCCACATAATATGAATCAACAAGAGCTCTCCCAGAGATGTCCATCTCAACACTAAGACCCAGCTCCACTCAACGACCAGCAAGCTACAGTGCTGGACACGCCACGCCAAACAACTAGCAAGACAGGAACACAACCCACCCATTAGCGGAGAGGCTGCCTAAAATCATAATAAGTTCACAGACACCCCAAAACACACCACCGGATGCAGTCCTGCCCACCAGAAAGACAAGATCGAGCCTCATCCACCAGAACACAGGCACTAGTCCCCTCCACCAGGAAGCCTACACATCCCACGGAACCAGCGTTACCCACTGGGGGCAGACAATGGGAACTACAAACCTGCAGCCTGCGTAAAGGAGACCACAAACACAGTAAGTTTAGCTAAACGAGAAGACAGAGAAATACACAGCAGATGAAGGAGCAAGGTAAAAACCCACCAGACCAAATAAATGAAGAGGAAATAGGCAGTCTACCTGAAAAAGAATTCAGAGTAATGATAGTAAAGATGATCCAAAATCTTGGAAACAGAATGGAGAAAATACAAGAAACATTTAACAAGGACCTAGAAGAACTAAAGAGCAAACAGTGACGAACAACACAATAAATAAAATTAAAAATTCTCTGGAAGGGGCTTCCCTGGTGGCGCAGTGGTTAAGAATCCGCCTGCCAACGCAGGGGACACGGCATCGAGCCCTGGTCCAGGAAGATCCCACATGCCGTGGAGCAACTAAGTCCATGCACCACAACTACTGAGCCTGCACTCTAGAGCCTGCGAGCCACAACTACTGAGCCTGCATGCCACAACTACTGAAGCCCGCACAACTAGAGCCTGTGCTCCACAACAAGAGAAGCCACCGCAATAAGAAGCCCACATACCGCAATGAAGAGTAGCCCCTGCTCACCGCAACTAAAGAAAGCCCACATGCAGCAACAAAGACCCAACGCAGCCAAAAAAAAAAAATGCTCTGGAAGGAATCAATAGAATAACTGAGGCAGAAGAACGAATAAGTGACCTGGAAGAATAAAATAGTGGGAATAACTACCGTGGAGCAGAAAAAAGAAAAAAGAATGAAAAGAACTGAGGACAGTCTCATAGACCTCTGGGAAAATATTAAAGAAGAAGAAAAGAAAAAGAAAGGGACTGAGAAAATATTTGAAGAGATTATAGTTGAAAACGTCCCTAACATGGGAAAGGAAATAGTCAATCAAGTCCAGGAAGTGCAGAGAGTCCCATATAGGATAAATCCAAGGAGAAACACACGAAGACACATATTAATCAAACTATCAAAAATCAAACAGAAAAGAAATAATATTAAAAGCAGCAAGGGAAAAGCAACAAATAACATACAAGGGAATCCCCATTATGTTAACAGCTGATCTTTCAGCAGAAGCTCTGCAAGCCAGAACGGTGTGGCAGGACATATATAAAGTGATGAAAGGGAAAAACCTACAACCAAGATTATTCTACCCTGCAAGTATCTCATTCAGATTCAACGGAGAAACTAAAACCTTTATAGACAAGCAAAAGCTAAGAAAATTCGGCACCACCAAACCAGCTGTACAACAAATGCTAAAGGAACTTCTCTAGGCAGGAAACACAAGAGAAGGAAAAGACCTACAAAACAAACCCAAAACAATTAAAAAAATGGTAATAGGAACATACATATCGACAATTTCCTTAAATGTAAATGGATTAAATGCTCCAATCAAAAGACACAGGCTCGCTGAACGGATACAAAAACACGACCTGGGGCTTCCCTGGTGGCGCAGTGGTTGAGAGTCCGCCTGCCGATGCAGGGGACACGGGTTCGTGTCCTGGTCTGGGAAGATCCCACATGCCGTGGAGCGGCCAGGCCCATGAGCCATGGCCGCTGAGCCTGCGCATCCAGAGCCTGTGCTCCGCAGTGGGAGAGGCCACAGTGAGAGGCCCGCGTACCACAGAAAAAAAAAAAACACGACCTGTATATATGCTGTCTACAAGAGACCCACTTCAGACCTAGGGACACATACAGACTGAAAGTCAGGGGATGGAAAAAGATTTCTATGCAAATGGAAATCAAAAGAAAGCTGGAGTAGCAATTCTCATATCAGACAAAATAGACTTTAAAATAAAGACTATTACAAGAGACAAAGGACACTACATAATGATCAAGGAATCAATCCAAGAAGAAGATATAACAATTGTAAATATTTATGCACCCAACATACCTTAATACATAAGGTAAACGATAACTGCCATAAAAGGGGAAATAGACAGTAACACAATAATAGTAGCGCACTTAAACACCCCACTTTCACCAATGGACAGATCATCCAAAATGAAAAAAAAATAAGGAAACACAAGCTTTAAATGATACACTAAACAAGATGGACTTAATTGATATCTATAGGACATCCCAACCCAAAACAACGTAATACACCATCTTCTCAAGTGCTCATGGAACATTCTCCAGGATAGATCATATCTTGGGTAACAAATCAAGCCTTGGAAAATTTAAGAAAATCAAAATTGTATCAAGTACCTTTTCCAACCACAACACTATGAGACTAGATAGCAATTACAGGGAAAAATCTGTAAAAACTACAAACACATGGAGGCTAAACAATACCTACTAAATAACCAAGAGATCACTGAACAAATCAAAGAGGAAATCAAAAAATACCTAGAAACAAATGACAATGAAAACATGACGACCCAAAACCTATGAGATGCAGCAAATAGCAGTTCTAAGAGTGAAGTTTATAGCAATACAATCCTACCTCAAGGACCAAAAAAAATCTCAAATAAACAACTAACCTTACACCTAAAGCAATTAGAGAAAGAAGAACAAAAAAACACCCAAAGTTAGCAGAAGGAAAGAAATCATAAAGATCAGATCAGAAATAAATAAATAAGAAATGAAGGAAACAATAGCAAAGATCAATAAAACTAAAAGCTGGTTCTTTGAGAAGATAAACAAAATTGATGAACCATTACCCAGACTCATCAAGAAAAACAGGGAGAAGACTCAGATCAATAGAATTAGAAATGAAAAAGGAGAAGTAACAACTGACACTGTAGAAATACAAAGGATCATGAGAGATTACTATAAGCAACTCTATGCCAATAAAATGAACAACCTGGAAGAAATGCACAAATTCTTAGAAAAGCACAACCTTCCGAGACTGAACCAGGAAGAATGAGAAAATATAAACAAGTCAATCACAAGCACTGAAATTGAAACTGTGATTAAAAATCTTCCAACAAACAAAAGCTCAGGACCAGATGGCTTCACAGGCGAATTCTATCAAACATTTAGAGAAGAGCTAACACCTATCCTTCTCAAACCCTTCCAAAATATAGCAGACGGAGGAACACTCCCAAACTCATTCTACGAAGTCACCATCACTCTGATACCAAAACCAGACAAAGATGTCACAAAAAAAGAAAACTACAT